TCAGACAAGTCACTCAACACTTTTGAACCTTGTTTTCTCTTTCGTAAAGTAAAGAGAATCGAGTCTACTACAATGAATTGTTTTTAGGGTTTGAGATTATAATTTACAACTATGTGAATAATTTATAACTATTTAATTTGTAACTGAGATTATAATTTATAACCATGTGAATAATTTATAGCTATTTCCCTAGGAGCAATGTATCCATGTTCCCTAATTTGGTGTTTGCAATGACTTATAGAACATAGCTATGGTAAATAACAACAATCAGCTGTATAGCCCTGGGCAAGCTCCACCTTATGCTGGTGGTACGTCAGAGTCAGCTGCGGTTTGCCTGCATTATATAAGGATTGTCAAATAGATTTTATGATGGCTGTGAAGCATTATTTAAAAACAACAAACACGAAATCCTTGCCCTTGAATAAGAAATTCAGTAGTGGGGGTTGGGGTTGCTGGGTTCAACAATAAAACAAATAAAAAGAAACTAAAATAAGCAAGATAGAAAATAAATAGGTAATAATTTTATAAAAAGACATGTAATAGACTATGTAAAGTTGTAAGTCGGAACTTTCCTGTTGGTTCCCACCTCCCCATTCAGCAACCATTTGTTGAACACATGTCACTTTCCAGCTTGCATTAGAGACTTTTTTTTTTTTTAATGTGGCTTATTCCTTTAAAATATTGTAACTACTTAGGAGCAAAAACTCAATTGTACTCTCATAATATTTAGCACAATAGCTTATATGTTGTAGATACCTATTAAATGTTTGTTGAGTGAATAGAAAACTGGATGACTATGTCACCCACTGTGATTATCTAATGTTCCAGAAAGTTCTCTCTACTCTCTTAGCATCATCTCTTTGATCTGGGTTACTCAGGAACAAAACTAGTTCCAGCTATTATGATGAATTAATGCAAGTGAAATACTACCATCTATATGCCTTTAAAAATATTATTTATTTTATATTTTATTTTTCTCAGTGGTACCACATATGCTTCAACCCAAAGGGAGAAATTTTTTGAAGTAGCATCTGTACTAACTGCAGTGTTTGATGGAGCTAGTCTTGTATGATTTATTAGACTCATCTACTTGTCTGGCCTGCTGAATCAGGCTTTCTGATTGTGTTATTTTCATGTATTTATTATAAAATATTTCAAACACATGGAAAAACAGAGAATTGCATAACAAAGGTGTAGGGGTGTGTATGTGTCATCTAACACTGTCAAATCTTAGATTTATAAAACTTGCTGTAGTTAATTAATTGTGTTCTTTTAAGGCCTCACCACAGGTTATCAATCTTAGTGCCAATTAATTACCAATTAATTAGTTAATGCCATTAGTTAATTAACTGCTGGAGTATTTCATACACTTTCCTCCTTACCCAGGGATGACAAATATTCTGTTACTACATATTTATGAGATCTGTGATAATATACAGCTTTGTTTTGCATATTTTATGCTTTATTTAAATAACATTTTACTGTCTTTGATCTGCAACATGCTTTCTTTAAAACTTTTGAGATTTATCTAAGTTGACATAGTTGGGTCTGGGTCCTTTATTTCCACTGATGTATAGAGTTCTGATTTGCGTATACATCATAATTCATTTATCAGTATCAGTTAGTGGACATTTAGGCTATCATGAAGTTGGAATTTTTTGTCACCCATTATTATTTTAGCATAATCCTGTGTAAACACAGATGGACAACCAGTCACTGCATTTGATGTAAAATAAAAAGTTCAAAATGTCAAGTAAAAAAAGGAACAAAATTAAATCTAAACTTCCAATAAGAACAGGGTAATCCATTTAAATTTCTGTTTCTGTGAAATTGTCAGAGTATTTACCTAGACTCTGTCCTTTCAAAGGAACATGAAACACTTTTACAATTCAATTTTAAGTGCACTAGGATCAATTTTTTAAAAGTGTTAATTGTGAAGTGAGAGACTGTTATCAGGTGCAGTGATCAAGAGGACAGCTTTTAAATCAGATGCCAGTGGGCTCCTGGATCTGTTATTGATTCGCTGAGAGACCTTGGGCCGGGTGTTTAACCTCTTTAAGTCTCAGTTCCTCTGAGTAAAAAGGGGATAACTATTGAACCCATGTTATAGGGTTATTGTAAATGAGATGTAAATGCATAAAAGCAAAGGGTTTGGCATAGAGTAAGAAAGCACCAATAAATAGGAAATAAGCCTGCCAACAAATTTGAAAGACTTTATATTTAGATACACACACATATATGTATGAAGACTTATAATAGACTTATTTACATATATGTTTAAAATTTCATTAATTTAAGCAACCCATATTTTTACATTAGACTTGGACAACTGTTATTATTATAAAAAAAAATTCTGAGAAATCTTTGGGGCAGTACTGTAATTCTCCATACAGGTAAGCCCATGTAAAATGGGATGTTTTTGTGAAGGCCAGAAGTGAAACATTATTGGAATTTGAAAATTCACCATGGCATGCAGAATTCTAATCTTTCACAACTTGTATAAAAGTATCACATCAGTGGGAAACAGGAGCTGCTTTCTTTTTAACATGGTTAGGGATTTGTGAGTACAAAAGGAGCATTATTTCATTAATAATGAAACAAGTACTTTTTAAAAAAATTTTTTTATAAACATATAATGTATTATTAGCCGCAGGTGTACAGGTCTGTGAATCGCCAGGTGTACACACCTCACGGCATATCACCACATACCCTCCCCAGTGTCCATAACCCCACCACCCTCTCCCTACCCGCCTCCCCCGGGTCAGCCTCAGTTTGAAACAAGTACTTTTTATTATTAATAAGATACCAAGTGTATAAAAAGGGAACTTTTGGAAATCACTGTGCATGGAGATTGGGCTGAATGAAAAATGGTGATGAAAACTTTTACAGTGCCACCACAGGTACTCTATTTTGGGTGTCAACATGGTGCTTTTTTGTTGTTGTTGTTTGTTTTTTTTTTAATTTATTTTTTTATTATGTTCAGTTAGTCACTATATAGTACATAATTCATCCTTGATGCAGTATTCAGTGATTCATTAGTTAAGTGTAACACCCAGTGCTCATCACAACAAGTGCCCTCCTCAATACCCATCACCCTGTTACCCCCTCCCCCCATTCTCCTCCCCTCTGAAACCCCCAGATTCTTTCTCAGTGTCCATAGTCTTTTGTGGTTATCTCCCTCTCTGATTTCTCCCCCTTTGGATTTCCCCTGTGGTCCTCCGTGCTATTGATTATGTTCCACATACAAGCGAAACCATATGATAATTGTCTTTCTCTGTTTGACTTACTTCACTTAGCATAATCCCTTCCAGTCCCATCCATGTTGATGCAAATGGTGGGTATTCATCCTTGCTGATGGATGAATAATGTTCCATGGGGTATATGTACCACATCTTCTTTATCCATTGACATGGTGTTTTTTAAATCTTAAATGCGACTGGGAAAGACTCCATCATGTTGTGGCCCACTACGATTCTGCACAAGAGTAAGCGTAGTCTACTCTTAACAAAGATGGGTTTGTGTAGCTAAATCTTCAATGCTTGCTGGAGTTCTGGCACAGGAATGGGATGGGTCTAAGCCTGTCTTTTGTATGTTAATGAGCTTTCACAGCAAAGGTTTATGAATTAACACAGATGGAAGTATTCTTGAAGAAAGACATTTATCTCCTTATTGCTTCCTGTGATGGATTGTTCAGAGCTAAGGGAACACCAGGCCTGAACCAAATCTCCCGCTGCCCTATATAGTTTGTACAATCTCCTTTCTAATAACACAGAGCCAGGGCAGCCCCAATGCCAGACCAGCACTTCTTCAGGAATCTTCTCATAATATGACAGGATAGAACCATCTGTAATACAAATCAACACTGGTATTTTCAAAGTAAGCACTTTAAGAGATTTCTTGAACAAGAAAACATGAATTTGCCGAGTTGAGTGCCAACTTGGAGTTGAAGTAAGAGTACAGCATGAATTGCATTGCCCTGAGTGTTACATTTTATCCTGATGTGTTTTAAGTTGAACTGGGTAAACAGTGTTAGATGTTCTATTAGTGTTAATATTGCAGGATGCTGTGATTAGGTATGATTATTTTGTAAAACTACTGCAGTCTATTTTTTATTGCTCCTTTGATCTCTAGCAGGTAGTGAAAACGAAATTTGTAACTTAAAATATGTTGTCTTTGATGCAGAAATTAATTTTCATGTTGCAAATATACTGATTTCTAAAACGTTATAGCTGGAGGGTGGAAAAAGAAACCTTTAGTCTGCAAAAAAATGATGACACTTTCTGTTTCTTTTTTGAATGTTGTCTACAGCCATTTTATCTTTTAAAGTTTTGAATCTTAATTTAAGGTGAGGGACCTATATCCAATGACTTGATGCAGACTTTTGAGAAACAGCAAGGAGGTTGAACTTAGAAGGTAGTTGTACTTAAATGATCACCGTTGAACTAGGATTCATTTTCTTGTTCTAGCATTAGCTTTGTTTTCTTCTAGATAGCATAGGATTGGGGACTACCTCCTTGTTGGTTTGTTTTTAAATATGTATATGTATATATTCACTCTTATAGTTTGTTTACATTCCACTAATTCCCTACCAATGATTTTCAAAATATTTTCTGCTATGTAATTCTAATATTTAGTATGTGTGCTGATTAATTCTGTGGTTCCTTGACATGATTGAAGACCATCAATAAAGGGGCAATTTCACATATAACCTTCAGTATTTTAAAAAAATGGTATACTACGAAATGCTTTTGAAACCATGTATTTTGACAAGGCCTGCTTCCACTTAAATATGTATAAAGTCAGCAGGCAAGTTTCTCAATAATCTAATAATCAGTTATTTCACTTGTCATCTCACATCAAGCCATAATTTTCCTATGGTAGCATTCAACTTACCTGACTCTAGCCACTGCTTATGTATTTCTGTAGTTTGTAAAATGTCTAGTTATTGCTCTGTCTATTTTAGCTCGTTTGTTCTAATGATTTATTTTCATTTTCTTTAGGATGCAGACCTGCCGCTAACTGGATTTGATTTATAAGAGGGAAATCTACAGTCAATGGCCACTCTTGTCACATTGCTACTATGGAAAACAGAATGGTCAATAGGATATGGTCTGATAACTAGTGATGATTGAAGATGCTACTTCAGTCCATGTGAAATCGATGGGAGATAGTGGCTGTATAAAGAGCTTCCTGAGCTTTTCTTGACAAACTCGCCTTGAAGAAGTCAGAGGTGTATTCTACCATTATACCGTCTTTCTCAAGTGGATATAAATACCTTTGCCTCCCTGTAACCAGACAACTACACAGCTAATGTGGGACCATGGCACTGCCCAGATGCATGTGGCCAAATTATGTTTGGAGAGCAGTAATGGCATGCTTGGTACACAGGGGATTGGGTACCTCATTGACTCTCTGCGTGTTGGGATGTTTACTTCATGCTGCCCATGTGCTTTCCCAAAAATTGGATGATGCAGACCCACTGGTGACTACCAACTTCGGCAAGATAAGGGGGATTAAGAAAGAACTCAATAACGAAATTTTGGGGCCTGTTATTCAATTTCTTGGGGTTCCGTATGCTGCCCCACCCACAGGGGAACATCGTTTTCAGCCTCCAGAGCCACCATCCCCCTGGTCAGATATCAGGAATGCGACTCAGTTTGCTCCCGTGTGCCCCCAGAATATCATCGATGGCAGATTGCCGGAAGTCATGCTTCCTGTGTGGTTTACTAATAACTTGGATGTGGTTTCATCATACGTGCAAGACCAGAGTGAAGATTGCCTATATTTAAACATATATGTTCCCACTGAGGATGGTGAGTTTACTACAGGAAAAGTAGGGAGATAAATTTATATTTTCTTTTCTATTCTAAGTTCTAACAATATTAATTCACGTGTACTGGTAGCATGCATGGCTTTTCCTGTTGGCATGTAGACATACTTTACATGCTTGCATGCTGCTCTTTTTGTTTATGTGTGTTGGTGTATCTGTTCTTATTTTTTTCCTGTGCCTACTCATTTTTTTTCCTCCGCAGCACGTGTATTTAGGTAGAAATGGGCTCCTATTTTCCATTTCCTACCGAATGACTTCTGAGAAGATGCATCAACATGTCTCCATTGCATGTGCAGGCTCAACGAACTGGGGATCTTTCGCACTCAGTAAATGCAGGAGCATATTAAGTTAGATAGTGGTGTTGCATGTTCCGGCGGTCTGTGATGGAGCGCCATGTTATTTTCTAGTCTTCTATTCATTTTTCAGTAAAAAGAATATCCAAGGAATGTGCCAGAAAACCCGGCAAGAAAATATGTAGAAAAGGAGGTATGTATAAAAGTGGAAATAAAAAATGGGGGAAAAAGCTTGCAGAGGAAGAAGGTACTCTCCCTAAGGATGATTTGCTGATGCTGGAAAGTAAATGGTTAGGTGATATTTGGAATTTCATGAAGCCTGTCAAGGAATAGAAAGATGGTGAAGGAGAGCTGTAGCTGAGTAGATAACATTGACGACGCTCAGTGGTGGTGCCTTGTGTTCTGGTGCTGGTAGCATCGATAGGAATTGAAATCTCTGCTCTGAGTTTGTGTTTAGAGGAAAAGATATTTAGGCTATGACATTGCATGCAAGGAGTCCAAATGATGTTGCCTTGCCAACTGGTTGACTTTTTCTCCGAACCCTGTTTTCCAGATACAGATTTCTGTTCCTCTTAGAAAACTGATCAGTTCAGTCACAAACCTAGTTTTTTGCTTGCTTATTCTTAGCTACTTCTGAATGCCCTATGAACTTTCTCATATCAGGGTAAATTTGCCATGACTGTTGGGCAATTACCATTATTAAGTAATGGTATTTTTTTCCAGATAGTGTATATTTTCGGTTACTCTTCCAGAAAAGAATGAGGTTTTGCAGATTTTTATACTAAATATTTACAGTCTTAAAATTACTTTAACATTTTTGTATTTATGTTAAACAATTTAAAACATAGGGAAGAACATGATTCAGAAGCTACAATTAAATCAACCTTCAAATCATCCTCTAGCCAGACTGAGTAAATGTAGACACTGACAGCTGCAAGCTTGCATCTGAATGTAGCTTGTCCACACTCCATTTTTATATAACATCCAGTAAATCACTCATAGGAGAATATGATTTTCTAGGGCAGTAAATCATCCAAGTGTTATTTTGACCTTATTCATAACTTTGTAGAATTTCCAATCTCCATACAGAAGTCATATTAATATTCTAGTGGTGTACATTCTATCTCTCTATGCACTTCTAAAGCTGGCTGGACCAAGTCAGATTTCATTACAACATCCTTGTGGGGCACGGAGTGTCTAAGCTGTTCTGTTTTATGAGGATTGCATTATATGGAAGAGCTTCATACAACAAAATTCTCGATTGTCGATCAGAGTATTTGCATTAAATTGAGTTTTTTGTTTTGTTTTTATTTTTATTTCTTTGGTCGTACTAGTAGAGTGAGATCTGACCTTTCGTGTATTACTGATGCCACGATTTGGGTTAAAAGCGCAGTGTATTTGAGAAGGTGGATATAGAGAACACAAAGTCTTTTAAACTAAAACAAAGTCTCTTGTTTTCCCCCAAATGAGAATAACTGCAGTAATTTACATGCCTTCAACTAATGTACAATACCACAGTGGTTATTATTATGCAGCTTATCAAGCATGTGTAATTAGCTAAGTGACTTTCACCTCCTATCACCAAGATGTTGACTCACAAAGTCATAAATAAAGATGCTATTGAAGATTGTATAAATAGAACATAATACATGAAAATATGTACAATCAAGAAAATGATAAGGATACTGAAAAGGTATGCTAGTAAGTGAGAAAGTGACCTTTCCTCTCATACAACTTCAGGGGAAATAGATTCATTAGAAAATTCTTTTTCGTTGTTCTTTGGATTGTTGGTTCCATCAGCTGTATGAGAGAGTTGGCAAAGAGGTGTGTAAGGTTGTGCTTTTTATTTTGGCAAACTTTGAACTGATTTCTAATAGCCAGAGGATAAAACCTGTGGATACTCACTTCAGCGTGTGTGGTTTCTAGTCCAAATCTATTGTGCTTTTATGTTAAGCAGTTTAAAAAATTATTTTGCATTGGTATTTAATATATTCTGTTATTACTAAATAAGTTTGTTCTTTTATTAGCTGTTTGTATGTTACCCCAAAGTCTAAGTAACGAAGATTTTAAATGTGGTCCTTTATATGAATAACCTTTTTTAAACTAAAAACTAAAGTTTAGAGCTTGACTTTAAGCAGAGGAGTAGAACTTTTCCCCCAAACTTTTAACTTTTTTTTTCCTTCTTTATCATGGAGAGTCTTTTGGTCATTCCAAGAAATCCCATTATTCTGGTTCAAGAAAATAATTGTCATTTCATATCTACACATATACCAATATATATTGCATATGGATTATAAATTCTCCAACAGAATTCTAGAAGTTTTTAAATGATGGTTCAGGAACTATAGGAATAGGTGTGTTGCATTTTATAGGTGTTAAAGATATTTTTAACTTGCTATTATTTATCTCTTTCTTTTTAACTGTGTGTGGTTACCTTCCAAGGCAGATGAACTTCCCCCCACCCCTGTGCCAAGTACACTATAATCTGTGTATACTGTATTAATCCAAACTTTTTCTTAATTGCCTTAATCATTTACTCTTCAAGGGAGGTCAATAATGAATGAAACAAAGATCCTTTTTCCCATAGAACTTACTGAATTTAAGTAAGTTTACAAAGAACAAAGCATTTTCTCTGCTGTAGTCTGTATAATAGGAAGAAAATCTTTTACTTCCCCAAGAGATGCCTTGCTATAGTTTTTTCTTAAATATTTATTTATTTGTTTGAGAGAGAGAGAGAACATGAGTATAAGGGGCAGAGGGAGCAGGAGAGAGAGACTCTCAAACACACTCCACGCCTATTGCGGAGCCTGTCAAGGAGTCCGAAATGGAGCGAGAGGCAGAGCTCCGTCTCATGACCCTGAGATCACGACCCTGAGATCACAACCTGAGCCTAAACCAGGAGTCCAACGTTCAAATGACTACACCACCCAGGCTATAGTTTTTAGATAGAGCTTTTATAATATTTTCCTGTGCAGTTGAAGAAAAAAAAAACATTTTTATCAATAAGCTTCCTCTCATTTAAAACAGGTCCCAGTTGCACTTTTCAATCTATCTTTTTATATTTCCCATGATAGTTTTAGCCATATGTTAATTACTCTCTAGATATTTCTTCAGGGTTTTATCCTTTCAAAATTGAAAGATGAGTGCTTAAAATGAGATGGCTGTCAACATTGGGCCAAATAGGCAGATAACACGTGACAGAAACTGGAATTTGGATGTAGAAAAGATATTACTATCTATATTTTATAAATAAGGAAGTAGGTTCTGAGGTTAAGTGTTCTGACCCAATTTCTTTTGCTAGTAAGTGGTAGTTAGGTTTGGTCCTAGTTCTTGTTAATATTAGATGCATTTCCATTATATTAAATTACCTCTAATAGAGATTTCTATAGCAGAGGCTCACATCTCTCTACCTTCCTGATCTCCCTTTCTTCCCCCCTCCCGTCAAATATATTATGAATTCTTTTTATTCTACCTGTTGACTCTATTTTAGATTAATTTAATGCTCACTTTAATTGAATTGGGTCAAGTCCATGATAGTAACTGATTTCCAGAAAACTTGCTAGTACACATTTTAGTGACCATTCTTAAATCCTACACATAATTTTCTTATTGTCTAGACCAAGATCCCAACATATTTCTCTTGGCTACTATCAGGAATAGCTTTAATTTGCTTATGTTTCATTTTGTTTCTCTAGTTTGCTGTCTTGTGAGTTGCCAACAAACAGAAGAGTGGTCAAATATTAGGCAGTAAACATGAGAAGGAGGAACAAGGGACCCAGAGAATCCACAAACAAATTGATTGGCTCATGGATACCCTAGAGTTGTGCAGTTTTGCATTTCTCCAGCACTTTGACTATTATTTGCATAGCTCTTCTGAGATGAATACAGAAATGATTTTCATTTCTTCAGTGTGAGAAATTCTTAACCTACTTTTCTCATTTACCCCAATTTTTAATGTACAGAAAATTGGAATCTTAATAGATGTCTCTTGCATAATTTTTTACTCTTTGAGTATTTTATTCCTTATTTTCATATGCATTTTACTTTTACGTTTTCTATTTAGTCGTCATTACCTGAGATAATACAGACATCATTCAAAAGCCCTTTCCACAGATTTAGGGTCTCTTTGGTTGTTAGTTGAACATAGATACTGACTTTTCCCTAATTAATTATACTTAACAATACTCTCTTCGCTGTCAATGTGTTTTAAAGGAGATTATATTCCAGAATGCTCCTCCTTCTGGCTGACACATTTTTAATTAATCTATTCATCTAACAAATATTTACTGAGTCCTTACTCTGTGCTGATGAGATTACTGCTCTAGGACCCAGAGATACAGCAGTGGGAAAAAAAAAAAAGTTCTTGACATCCAGGAGCTTACATCTAGTATGTGGAGACAAATTGTAGACGATAAACACAATCAACAGCTAAAGTTAAAAGATGTAAGAAGATGAGAAATCAACAGAGTGTGGTGAATCAAGGGTGCTGGTGTGAAGGATAAAGGTCATTTTAAATAAGATATTTAGCATAATCCTCATTCCAACAAAGACCTGAAGGAGATGAAGTGGGTATCTGGGGAAAGAGCAGAGTAAAGAGCTAGTGCAAAGGCATTAAGGTGAGAGTCTGTGTTGTGTAGTTAAGGAACAATTTGCACTGTAGTGTACCTGGAAAGGCTAAAGGGAGAGAGGCAGTGAGACTCAGAATGATCTGACATTTTATTAAAGAGGTCATGCCACCACAGCAAAGGAAACCATGAACAAAATGAAAAGGTAACCTACTGAAAGGGGAATGATATTTGCAAATGATATATCTGATAGGGGTTAATATTCAAAATACATAAAGAACTTATGCAATTCAATACCAAAAAAAGACCCCACCCAAATAATACAATATAAAGATGGCAGAGGACCTGAATAGACATTTTTCTGAAGAAGAGATACAGATGGCTAATAGACATACTGAAAAATGCTCTACATCATTGATCATCAGGGAAATGCAAATCAAAACCACAATGAGGTATCACCTTATACCTGTCAGAGTGGCAAGTATCAGAAAGATAAGAAACGACATGTGTTGGCAAGGATGTAGAGAAAAAGGAGCCCTTGTGAACTATTGGTAGGGATGCAAATTGGCACAGCCACTGTGGAAAACAGTATGGAGGTTCCTCAAAAGAAATTTAACAAAATTACTGT